AAACGGCGAGGAACGACGTTTCCTTCCTCGTTCGTGCGAGGAACGCCGCGACGCGCCTCGACGGGACGCTCGATCGTCGCAAGACCTGCGCTCGATCCGCCGCTCCGATCGGCCGCGACTTTCTTTCGCGTTCCTGCGGCCCACGTGAAATTATTCCGGCTCGCGTCGAGGTGGTCCCGAGAGGGTGCGCTTTTTAAAAACCCCTCGACGAGGGCACGATAATACACGAACGCCACGGTGGTCCCGAAACTGTTCAAGGGACGCGAGCTTTTCTTCGAATATAAATATCGAGGGCCGAGACCGTCGCCGCTCATTCGTTTCCATCGTTCCTCCTTGGGAACGCCGTGACGTGTCGTGTATATTTGCCGGCCGACACGAACGTTTCGCGAATCTCACCGGAACCTGCAGTTTTTCAGCTGAACGCGACGGGGACGGTGATGATGTAGAAACGTGCGAATTTTTATGTTTCGCAGCCATGTTTATGTATCTATTCAGATATCTTCTCTAATTGTGTTAATATACTTAACTTTTCTAAGGGGGGACATTTACGATTTTAATTGTTGATTGCCCTTTTGGCGTGGATCGTTATGTAAATATCCGAAGGTCAACATTGGCGATAGATCGTCGATGTTTCTTACAGTTGCGCTACGTGGAGGATGATTTTGTCATAGGTCGGGGCGCGTCCCGGCATTCTTTCAAGTTGAGATTCTGAAGCGAAAATTGATTGGCGTTTTTGCTCTAGAGGGATTCGTTTGCCACGGCGCGCCGCGAATCTGGCGACGAATCAACCGACGATCGGCGGTTCGATAGATTCTAATGGATATTAATAAGGAACGACGGCCGACGCGAAGACGTTCGGCACGAACGAGGCCGAGCGGAAGACCGTACTCGTTTACCGTATTCGTTCGCGAAGACCGTACTGCGGCTACTTTATCGAGTAGATTGTCCGTTAGAGCGTTTCAACGGCATCGGGCTTTTTCATTTTTCTTACTATTATTTTTACTTTTGTCGTTATCTCTATCTCTTGCTCTGCCTCTGGATCTAGTCGCTCTGTTAGCTTTATTAACTTCAGCTCTGGCTCTAGTTGCTCCAGCTCTAGTTCTAGATCTAGCTCTAGCTCTAGCTATAGTAGTTTTAGTAGCTATAGCTCTAGTTTTAGTAGTACTAGTAGCTATAGCTCTAGCTCTAGCTATAGTAGTTTTAGTAGCTATAGCTCTAGCTGTAGTAGTTTTAGTAGCTATAGCTCTAGCTATAGTAGTTTTAGTAGCTATAGCTCTAGCTATAGTAGTTCTAGTAGCTATAGCTCTAGCTCTAGTAGTTCTAGTAGCTATAGCTATGGGTATAGCCCTAGATCTAGTAGCTCTAGTAGTTCTAGAAGATCTAGTTGCAGCTCTAATAGTTCTAGTAACTATAGCTATAGCCCTAGCTCTAATAGTTCCAGTAGCTACAGCTATAGCTCCAGCTCTAGTAGTTCCAGCATCCATATCTCTAGCTCCAGCTCTAGCAGTTCCAGTAGCTCCAGCGCCATCCCTATCATCTCCATCACCTCGAACTCCAGTAGTAGCTCAAACAGCTCCAACAACTCTAACCCTAGCTCTACCTCCGGCCTCATTGTCATCCTTATCTCCGGCTTTATCTTTATCTCACTTTTATTCCCATCCACTCATCGAGTTTCGCCGAGCGTTCGCCACGAAGTGTACACGTAGGATCGCGTCGCGGCCGTCGAAGAAGATAGCGAGACGATCGGCCGCGAACGAGACGAGAAGGCGTGCGTAGGTGTCGGCGTCGCGCGCTCCCGCGAATCGGTTAGGAAAAGTACCGGCGGCGAGAGAGGATTTCGCGGAACGGGATTCGAAGTATCTCTCCGGCCGCGCTCGTTTCTTCCCGACGTTCTTCCCGGAGAGCCGCGCGCGCGGACGGGAAAGAAGACGAGAACGAGACGAAGATGGCTCGATGTCGCGCGCGGAGCCACGGCGTAGCGGCCGAGCCAGAGCGGTACCGTTATCCCGTTCGACGAACGCTTTCCTATCGCGCGAGACGTTCCCCGTCCCTCGTCCCCCCCTGCCCCGCGGCCGGCCCTTGATTACCAAAGATAACGCTCGAACGATAACCGCGCGTCGGAGGTACCGGGAGATTAGATCGTGTTCCGTCGTGGCGTTCGTCGACGCGGCGAAACGCTCTGCGGACGGAGAGCGGTTTCCACGGATCCGCGCCGGCCGCGGCGATTTTCCAGCGAGCGGCTCTGCCTCGCAGGGTGTGGCACGCGGTCCTTTTCTCTCTCCGCTTCGCTCCTCGTATCTGCCGCTCGCGACCGACCCGTTTCCTCGGTCCACGGATAGAAGAGTCGCGTCGCGTCGCGTCGAGTGGCAGCGGCGAGCGTCCGCGCGCCGGCTATTACGAGGCGATTTATCTTGGCTCGGTAGGCGAGCGGATCGGAGCTACGACGAATAAAGTGTACTCGCGCGTGGCCGAGCGCGCGAACGGCCTGCGAGAAATTTTATGGGAGCGGGTCGCCAAACATGGTCACGCGGACGCGACTTACCTCGCCGCGAGTCGATACCGTTCGGAGCTCGAGCACCGGTCGAATCGAATCGGATCCAGTCAAAACGAATCGGTCCGATTCGACTCGCGACGGAGAGAGATTCCCCTCGTTTCAAGCCGGGGGGACGCTGGAAAAACGAAGGCGGCGGAACCGATCGCGGAGAAACAGGTGGTTCGTCGATCGCTCGTTCGTCACGCTCGTCACCGATAACGGGGGTCATCTATCGCTCGCCGACCTCCGGCCAG